GGGAACTGTTACTTCGATGATTCACAAACTCCATGAGGCCCGGTTTTTTATTATCTGGTTGAATTTAATTATAAGTTAATTAGATAACGATAAACCGTGCTTTAATGTTAGTAGATGTATAACTGTGACATATCTAACCAATAGATTATAACAATATTACAGCAACATTACAATATTCCAATAATATTGTATTATATAAATAGTTCTATTTTTCATATATAATTTTATGTGTGTATATATATATATATATATATATATATCTCATATAAAAAAATCACATATGAAAAAACAGTATATATAAAATTGCTATAAATAAAAAATTGAATTATATTCATATATTTCTTATGACCCAATGAAAAATTTTTCATGCATTACTATGTATACATAAACTGTATACATAAACTAATATTTTTTTCTAAATTATACATATATAATTATATTATATATTAAATTTATACCCGAAATTTTTATATATAATTATATATGAAATTTTCCTCTATTATGTATATTTATATATAAATCAATAATTCTATTCAATTATATATAAAATTGATTAAAAATTTTATATATATATAGCTTTATATAATTATAGAAAAGTCTTATATGTAATTACATATAAGACTTTTCTCTTAAATGAAATATTATATAAAGTTATTATTTAATCTATATGAAATATAAAAGTAAACGTTATTTATTTACACTGAAAATAGAATTAGAAAATAGATAGTTACAAAAATAGAATTAATCTTCTACACAATTTTTTCAATATCCAAAATTGAAAAAATTTTATCTCTTCCCATAAAATAAACTTTAAAAAGTTTTTGTTAATGGTATTTAAATTTAGTCTGTAAAAAATAAGTGTAAAAAAACATGTAATGTATTTGTCATCATTATCATACATTATCTGTTATCATTCGTGAAATTAAGTAAAACTGAAATTATAGTAAAGTTGAAGATGTAAATATAAAGTTTCGACAAAAATATATTTGATAATAACAAAAACAAGTTTTTAATTTCGACAAAATGTAATGTATTAAAATATATTTATTCAATTTAAAAATCTGTTTAAAACTTGTTTTTTGTTATTATTAAATGCGTTTCTAGATATTAAGTTGTCCTAAATCGTATGTATCAAGAAATGTTGCAATAATGGAAACTTTATTATCTGTCGAAGACATAGAGAGAGAAATGTGAGTATGGGATCATCTTCCAAATAAATTTTCGTGCATGCTGCTTTTGCATAAATCTCGTTTAATGTCTCATATATAATGATGATTCTTTTCTATCAATAATGTTAAGGATCACTGCACTTAAATAGCTACTTGCATAATTCCTTGAAATTATAATTGTATTTGTCCGATAGTGAAAATTTGAACGAAACTTTCGAAGTGAACCACTCTTTCACTTATTGTTATATGTAAATTTTCTTTTTATTATAAGAGCTCAAAAAAAGCAAAAAATTTTAGTGCTTCTATCATTTTTTTAATTATTAAAATCACAATTTTCAATAATTTTTAATTCAACAAATGATAAAATATAATCTTAAAAGTCTACTATTAAAAATAATTAAAATAAAAACGACTTTTTAATCATTTCAAATGTCTCACCTTCCATTAAATAAAAATGTTTCGGGACATAGTTCAAAGTTTTTAAAAAAATATATTATTGATACTATTTTTTAAATATTTTATATTAAAATCAAAATATATCTTACATCGAAAAATATTTAGATTTCTCCATGTATCTCGATACATTTAGTAGTATGCGATTATCTCATTTCCTGTTTGAAAAAATGAAATTTGAACTTGATGATCTGTAAATATAAAAACACAGATATCTCGATATTATTATTTTGATAAATAGTCAATAGTATCAATTGAAAATTATATCTATACTTGAAATCGCAAAAAATATCGAATTTATCAATATCGAGAGAAAAACATTGATCTCAACATAATCGAATTACGCATCCCTACCTTATTCGCGGCGTAAACAAAGGAAACTGAAGGCGCCGGGGCGACGGGCACGGGCGCATCGTTCTCGAGCCTTTGCTGGCGAGTCGTGAAACGTTGCTGGTCAGTGTGTCTCGTTTAACGATACGAGTTGTAGCGGTTAGCAGTAGTGAATGATCAGCGAGTACTACGCGTTCGGTCTGGAGCCACTTGAGAAACTAGTTGCCATCGCTCGTTTAGAACAATGTTTTGGCCGTATATCGTTCGGCGTGCTCCACAAAAGTCAGAATGCAATATTAAAAGTAAGTGCTAATGTTGAAGTTCGATACTTGACGGCTGTTTGTATGCTATTCCTCTTCTATTTCATGATACAGAGATGAATTGTGTAAAACTAACTCTCTAATACTCTTTCTTAGACAACTATTCATTCCTCTTCTATAAAATAACAAAGTTTTCAAAAAAAAATTATTTCAAAAAAGTTGTCTGAATTATCTGCAATCAAAAATAAAATGTATACTATGTATGACAACAATTCTTTTTACGCAATGTGTATTTTCTTATTTTAAGATTACTGTATTTTTATTAATCTAAATGTTTGAGAGTACCGTATTTTGAACACTTTGATTACTTAAAAAAAAAATTGTTTGTTTAGCATAATACAAGAAACCTGGAAGTTTTTGCAACTTTCTTCTTGCTCGGAAACATTAAATAATCAATATATAATCATACATAATTATCAAGGAATAAATATTTTAAAATGTTTTCATACATCTCGAAGTGTGAGCTTAAACTAGTTTTCCATTTTTTTTACAACCAAACGTACATTACCTCATTATCTGAGAAATTTATATTCATACCGTAAGCGAAGATTATTATTTTTTTAAATTTAGATAAGTATGCGTTTTTTTGCAGATAATGATCAATACTAATGTTAGATTCATATTAGCTAAAGGTCATCTATATATACAAGGACAATAATATTTTTTTTATTGAGAAAAACGTGAAAAAAATTTGTACTTCGTTCCCGTGTGACTTTTTATAATGATATCATCAATATCAATTTTCAAATGCGACATCAAAGATGCCGATCTATAGAATTGACGTTTAATAATAAAATTTTAATGATTTCGCTATTGCAGTTCAACTATTTTACTTCTGATATTAGATATCTACCTTAGCAACTCTCAATTTAAGTTTTCTCAAAATAAAATCAATTTGATATTAATCGAAGTAAATTCTCTTGTTATCTATCTACGTTTTAAACTTTCAAACATTTCTAATCGATAATGTTATGCATAAATTTTCTTCTCGTTTCTTATTGAAATACATTTTTAATCTACAAAGTTGAAACAATCAGATATTTATGAATAAATAAATAGATGTCAAAAATATTTAATAATAAAAATATTTAATGTAATACAGTTCTCGAGGTTATCGCACTAACATCTTGACGCAACGAAGATTGCTCTGAGGCAATTACTGTACGCTCTAGATACGCGTACAATCGTCCTCGATAGATGCAAAAAATACTACGTTTGTGTTGCTTATTGTTGTGACTAATAGTTCAATTTTGTCTTTCTTTGTGAGAGGTGTTATTGAAAATGTTCTATTCACGGTTGCATTATTGCGATTCGATTGATCAATATTATAGAATTCCATATAATAAATAAATAAATAACTGACAATACAAGAATACGCGTTAAAGTCATAGAGGATGAAATAGATGCAAGTATATTTTTGCATAAGTCATATTTAAATTCTTATCAATAATTAATCAATTCAATGTGACGATTTAATATAAATTTAATTAATCGATTTAATGCAATGTAAACTGAACATTTCTTAAGTAATCAGTTGCTTAACATGTATTGCCAATATATATATATATATATAATTGAGTAATTGATAAAACCATTACGTATTTCCTTCGTATACTTTATCTTGATTTATAATTTACATGTTTTAAATCTCAAAGACTTGTTTTTTTATACTTTAACGTACATATTATATTAAGATATAGGAGTCTCGCAACTTCTTACTTCTTAATAAGATAAACGTAATAATAAAATTTATATAAATTATTTTATGTATCTTTTCTTTCTCTGAATTTTTTAATTTTCTTATGCTTAGCATTTATTATGGGGGTATTCTTTTCTCTTTTTCTCTTTCTTAGATATTCTATTAAGAAATAAATATCTTAAATAAATTCTAACAGAGGACATTATTATTTTATTATTAATATTGCTATACAAGTATGTAAAATCTAAGTGAATTGAGTTTAATAAAAAAACTACAACGTATTTGACAAAAATGTTTTTAATTTAAATATCAATGAATTTTATATAAAATTTATAAAAAGGAAGTTATAAATAATAGATATTACAATTGTAGGATATTTTTCAATGCATATTTCTCAATGCAACGTTATAAAATAAAAAAAAAAGAATAACAACGCAAAGAAACAAAAATGCAAATGCAAATGTAAATTACTTTTTACTTTTTACGAAAGCGTTAAGGTGTTACAATTCCACAAAGCATGATCAAATTATGAATGATATAAATAAACAAGACTGCAAAAAAACAGCATTAGGAATTACAGTCACTATTAAAGTTTTGGCACAAAATTTTTTATTGACACAAAGACTTTTGAATTGTATCATTACATTTACAATGACAACTATTTCTTTATACAAAAAATCATAAATTATGATAAATGTTAAATTATTTTACATTATTTTTTATTTGTGTTATGTTTATTAATTTTTATTTTTTTATATTACATTAGAATATACATTGTACAATTACAATCATTCATTTCTTACGATTCTTTTTTTATTTTAGATAAAATTTATTAATATTAAAGTTTAAAAAAGTTTTTATACGTTGCATTTTCTTTGTTAAACAATATTTTAAGATTTCTCAGAGATTGAGAAACTATGTGAAGATCATAACCATGATGTAAGAATATGTGTTACATCGTTATAATAACGATTGAATATAATTTGAAGTCAATTTCTGAGTCATAATTTATTTTATACTGCGCATTTACGGGAATGTTACTTAATAATTCTTATGTCATAATCATAACACTCCGTCTAGGTACATAGCATTATTTTTGCAACAAAGATAAGAGATTTGATATTTATTTTGATGAATCGAAACTTTCCTTCTCGTTTTTGCTTAAATATCAAATGTATACTTATTGTAAATATAAAGAGTAGATTACATATCTGTATGTAAATATGTAATCTATTTTAAATATACCTGTATTTATATATTTATTTAAAAAAATTGTATCGCTTTCACAAATTTTAATTAATTTAATGTTTTTTTTAAATAAGAATTTAAAATAAAAATTCCAGCCTTTTCTCAAAATTTTTAAATATTAATTTAATATTAAATATTT